TCCCGCATGCAAGAACATTAAAAGAATAAATGGTAAAAAATAAAAATACCGTTGTTTCTGGGAAAAAAAGAATAAATGATACTCATCAGTTGCTGAAAGATAAAAGCTAAGCAGTACTGGATTCTTATGCTTTTCCAATATTTAAAGAAAACTAAATCTTCAGGTATGAATGAATCAAGACGTGAAATAAACATTTCTGGAAACCCTATCAATTTTTTAGATCATTACAAATCTCCAACTAAGTAAGAACTTAAAGTGGTTTGAGAATTGTTCTAATGAAGCCATGGACTCAGAAAAAATTGTTTCATATCGGTAAAAATTCTATTCCACAGTTAATTTTGACCACAACAAGCATATTGCAAATACATATATAGCTGGTTACTAACAAAATGGAGGAAAAGATATTGGTATTATACTCTATATTCACTAACTCAATGCCACGCCAAAAACTACCACTTTTCATTCATTGCAATTCAAAAGCTGAGGTTTTACAATTTTAAAGCACCCTGTCAACCACTTTCTTACACCATACACAAAAATAAATTCAAAATGGATGAAAGACCTAAATGTGAGACAGGAAACCATCAAAACCCTAGAGGAGAAAACAAGCAACAACTTCCTTGACCTCAGCCACAGCAACTTCACTCGGCACATCTCCAAGGCAAAGGAAATAAAAGCAAAAATGAGCCATTGGGACCTCATCAAGATAAAAAGCTTCTGCACTGCAAAGGAAACAATCAACAAAACTAAAAGGCAACTGACAGAATGGGAAAAGATATTTGTAATTGACATATCAGATAAAGGGTTAGTCTCCAAAACATATAAAGAACTTACCAAACTCAACACTCCAAAAACAAATAATCCAGTGAAGAAATGAGCAGAAGACATGAATAGACACTTTTCCAAAAAAGACATCCAGATAGCCACTAGACACATGAAAAGATGCTCAACATTGCCATCATCAGGGAAATACAAACCAAAACCACACTGAGATACAACCTCACACCAGTCAGAGTGGATAAAATTAGCAACTCAGGAAACAACAGATGTTGGCATGAATGTGGAGAAACAGGAGCCCTCTTGCACTGTTGGTGGGGATGCAAATTGGTGCAGTTGCTCTGGAAAACAGCGTGAAGGTTCCTCAAAAAATTAAAAATAGAACTACCCTATGACCCAGCAATAGCACTACTAGGAATGTGTCCAAAGGATAAAGGAGTGCTGATGAATAGGGGCACATGTACCCCAATGTTCATAGCAGCACTTTCAACAATAGCCAAATTATGAAAAGAGCCCAAATGTCCATCAATTGATGAATGGAAAAAGAAGATGTGGTTTATATATACAATGGAATACTACCTGGCAATGAGAAAGAATGAAATCCTGCCATTTGCACGAATGTGGATGGAACTGGAGGGTCTTATGCTAAGTGAAATAAGTCAGTCAGAGAAAGACAATATCATACATTTTCATTTGTATGTGGAATTTGAGAAAATTAACAAAAGACCATGAGGAAAGGGAAGGGGAAAAAATAGCTTCAATCAGAGAGGGAGGCAAACCATAAGAGACTCTTAAATACAGAGAACAAACTGTGGGTGGATGGGGTGGTAGGGGAGAGGGAAAAATGGGTGATGGGCATTGAGGAGGGCACTTGTTGGGATGAGCACTGGGTGTTGTATGTAAGTGATGAATCACAGGAATCTACTCCCGAAGCCAAGAGCACACCATATACACTGTAAGTTAGCTAACTTGACAATAAATTATATTTTAAATAAGTAAATAAATAAATAAATAAAACAGAGCACCCTGTCAGACCCTTTAAATTACCTCTTGTTATTCTCACCACAGTTTTGTAAGATAGATGCCTCTCCCATTTTGTAGATAAGAATATGAGGCTTAGAGAAATTAGATAACTTGCCAAATATTACATTGCTACTACGTGGAGAAGCACTGAATTAAACCCGAACAATTTTTACTTCTGAACCTGCCCTCATCTGGGGTCATATGTGAAAAGTAACAAACTGACTGTATAGAAATGCAATCACAGCTTCAAAATTGTATTCCAGTTTGATGATTTTATATAGTCAATATCTAATTTTGAAACTTCTACAAAAATGGTTCCTAGGATATCAGTTAAGCATCTCTTGATTTCAGCTCGGGTTATGATCTCACAGTTCATGAGATAGAGCCCCTCATTGGGTTCCACACTGTCAGCTTGGAATTCTTTCTCTCCCACTCTCTCTCTGCCCCCCCCACCCCACATGCATGCATGTTTGCGTGCACTCTTCCTCCCTCCCTCCGCCCCTCTCTCTCTCTCTCTCTCAAAATAAATAAATAAACATTTTTTAAAAAATGGTTCCTAGACATCTAAAAATAAGTACTTACAAGACAACTGGTCTAATTATTTAAGAGACCATATCATGGGAGAAAAGAGAGGAGAGTGTTTTAGAATAAAAGGAACTAAGTATGTAAACGTAATTCATGGTCCTTACTTGAGTCCTGGTTAGAACAAAACTAAAACGACTTTTGGCAAAATTCAGGAAATTCGCATATGGACTGAATTTTAAATTACGTGTGTATTATTAATGTTAGATGTCGCTGCTGTTGTGTTATAAAAGAAAGGTGTCTTTGGAGCTAACTATTGAAATATTTAGAGAATAGCTCTCATGATTTCTGTAATTTACCTGAAAATATTACAACAAAACAATCACTTAAGCATCTATAACGAAATGCAAACAACTGAGAAATCTAGCAAATTATACCACTGTCCTCAATTTCCTATGTACTTGAAGTCTTGTCAAAACAAAAAGTTAAAATTTCAAAAACCTCTGTCACATGAAAAAACTCCACGTTTATCTTTCAGCTCTGAAACAATTGTCCTTTACTGGCATTTAGCATCAGGTTATTATTTTTAATTCTCTGGCCTTAGCTAAATTGTATTTCTTGACGGAGGAAAACTGGTGTTCCATGACATTGGCCTGTCCCAGGGCAGTCCCTCTGCATACGTTGAGAAGCCAAGAGGAAAGTGTAGAAGATCTGTTCCCTCTGGGAAGACCTGGGCCATGGTTGTCCAAGTCTTCTTAAGTGTCATCACTCACTATCACACTTCTCATCAATCAAGTAAATTACTCACAGAGAAGCTTTTATTGTTACCATGTTCATCAGGAAGAAGGTCACACACAAAGGACTGCTGTCAACATCGACAAATTACAAATATCTTTTCTTTGTCTTTGAAATCAAATCCCTTGACAGGAGTGACCTTATCCTACATCCAATACATTTCTGATTCCCAAAAAACTCAACTGAAGGGCTATAAAACCTGAAAATTCTCTTGCACTTTCTCCTCCTTTGCTTCCAGTTACCATCGTAAAAGGATCGGCTGAAGGCCATCAATTGGATCGAACATCCTAAGAAGAATCATTCCAGGCCAGGTATATGGATATTTTTAATATATTGGAGACTATTGTATCTAATGCAAACTTTTAGCAGCTTTCAAGTTATATGCGTATATTGAAAAATGGCAGTAGTTGTTCTAATACAGTTATTCTCCCCTCTTCTTATGAACCGCTGAACCACATGTTAAAAGACTCAACTCATATATTATTAGAAGAAAATATAATCAGTGGGGAATTTTTTTTAATGTTTTATTTTTTTGAGGGAGTACCAATGGGGGAGGGGCAGAAAGAGGGGACAGAAGATCCGAAGCAGACTTTGCACTGACAGGCTGACAGCAGAGAGCCCCATCATGTAAGATCACGATCTGAGCCTAAGTCAGTCGCTTAACTGACTGAGCCACCCAGGCACCTCAGTGGAATATTTTTTTAATCTTGAAATTAAAGGCGACGAATTCTGACAAGATATTAAGAATCTGATAATATAATAATAATTCCTTCCTCCAACTGGGCCTGATGGTGTTCTTCTTGGTATCCTAGAACTATAATAATTACCACCATGAAGGCTCGATCATGAACCAGGCATAGTGCTCAGTACAATCTGTAATATATATCATTCCAGTCAATCTTCAGGACAATTTTAGAATGCAATTCACTTCAAGTCACACAGTAAATGGCACAGCTGCAATTTAAAACAAGTGTGACTGCCTCTAAACCTGGTGTCATAAACCAGAGGCCTATACTGTGACATGTATCTGATCTGACAGCACACCGCACTGATGTGTGCACACGAATTTACTTGCCCTACCAGTACGATTTAACCTTTGTTTTCCAAAATCAAGCTGACATGGACTATGGCGTGCATGACCAAAACAAGAAAAATAGAAGGTCATGTCCTTCCTTCCTACAACCTAAAGCCAAAAAGTACAATTACTTTTGGAAGTATTTTTTTAATTGAGTAAATCTGCACTCTGTACTGACCACAATGATATAAAAGTGATTAAAACATAATTCCATCCTTCAGGGATTTGAAAAACTAAACCTACAGAATCTACAATAGATGAAGTTTGGGATAGTCCATTTGATACGGCTCTTGGTCCTAAGAGTCTAAGTAACAAAGAGACTAGGAACACTTTCCTTGCTTAAAAGGACATCATGGAACATTTACAAAATCAAAAACATTGACTGCTCAGTAAATACAAGATAACTTGTATAATGGTTCATCAAACAAGGAAATTTGTAGAATTAGAATAGAAATAAGAAGGGAGTTATTTTGTTCTCTTATTGTTAAACTTTCTTAGGATCCTGCCCTTCCTAGGCAGTCTTTAGTATCAGTGGAAAGTGCCCATACTACAAACCGGTTATAACAATAATACTTCCTGACTCTCCTCCAATGCTTTCTCTCTGAAAGAATGCTGCTTTAGCTTGAAGGAATTTGGCCTCATAGCTATGGAGTGAAAATCCATACATAATTTTCAGAAACCATTTCCATCTTTCAAACTGTACTTTCAGAAAAAACTAAGTCATTTATCAAAACACATCCCGTCTTTCACAATATCCTAACTAACAATGAGCAAATTTTCTGCTTTTCCCAAGGGCCAAAAGAAAAGGATGAAAACCCTGACACTGCTGGTGTGTGTCTGTGCCTTGAGTGCTTGCTTCTCAGTAAGTATGCATCCAAGTAACTGCTCTTCTATGCCAGGAACATTTAGTGCATAGACCTAATTGAGACTTCAAAAGTACAACATGTAATTCCTACTTCCAAAGAGCTTAACATCTTTTGTCTTCTGTGAAACATGAGAAAACAGCTAATTAAAGCAGAAGGAAATTATTCCTTTCAATTCGTTTTAATTGATATTTCCATAGTACTAACTTTACCACGGATGTGATGAGATAAGATGGAAACAGAAAAGTCAATCATGTAGGGCCTCACTGGTGTGGAATATGAATTCCATTTTTAGTGTATCAGGAAGCCTTGAGATGCCTAGAGTGTCCACAGGGGAAGGATCCAACTCTGGGTCCTGGGGAGAAAACAGATCTCAGGGGACAAAAGCTGAGGTAGAGAAACCAGTCAAGAAGCTGTAGCAGTGGTCCTGATAAAAGATGATGGTATCTTGTGCTCGTTTTGGCAGCACATATACTAAGATTTGAAAGATGATGGTATCTTACATGAAATGTCAACAATTAAAACAAAACATGAAGGTGGATTTAAAATATATATTGGTGTTTAAGTCCACCATAACTTATGCTGCGTTAGGTGTGTAGTGAAAGAAAGAAATGAACATAAGATTTCTGTTTTAGACATGTTAAATTTAAAATGGCTATTAGACTTCTCCAAGGAGATGTTAAGAGGCCATTGGATATACCTTGTTTGGAGTTCAAAAAGAAGTTTAGGAGTGAAGTTTATATTTAGTTTTTATATATCATTATTTATTTTGAGAGAGACAGAGATAGCGTGAGTAGGGGAAGGACAGAGAGAGAAGGAAAAAGAATCCCGAGCAGGCTCCACGCTGGCAATGCAGAGCCCAATACGGGGCTCAAACTCATGAAACTGTGAGATTGTGACCTGAATGAAAACCAAGACTCAGACACTTAACCTACTGAGCCACCCAGGTGCCCCATGTGAAGTTTATATTTAAAAGGTATTCAAGAGGCACCTGCGTGGCTCAATCAGTTGAGCGTCCGACTTTGGCTCAGGTCATGGTCTCACAGTTGGTGGGTTTGAGCCCGGCATCAGGCTCTGTACTGACAGCTCAGATCCTGGAGCCTGCTTTGGATTCTGTGTGTGTGTGTCTCTCTCTGCCCCTTTCCAGCTCAAGCTCTGTCTCTCTCTCTCTCTCCAAAATAAATAAACATTAAAAAAAGTATTCGAAGCCATGGGACTTAACAAGATCACCTAGAGAAAACATGTAGAAAGTTGGATATGAATAGGGAAAATGAAGGAAGCATAAAAGAGGAGAGCAAAGTAGAGTTTCCAAAACCAAAAGATTACAAACCAGACCCCATCTTTAACATATTTAGAATCTACTGGGAAAGGTAGATTAAAATCAACAGTGATTCATGGGGTTACATTATGCATAAATAACCATATTTATCTCTAGGGCTATATATCTGTATGTATTTGTTCACTTTTATTTTGAGAAATTTGAAAAAAGAATCAAGACGTGAAATGTATATTTACTACCTGAGGCTGAAGAGCCTCAGAATACTATAAATATAAAGAGTAGATAGGGCAGGAAAACTGCTAAGGTAGAAAGAATTACTCTTAGGTACTCCCCTATTCCCCACTTACCACATAATATCTCCTCCTGCCCCCCCCCCCCCAAAAAAAATATCTTGGGCTTTTCTATGGACCCTAGTACTGATTTCTATGATTATAGCAACAAAATGCATTCAAATTCAGTTCAGAAGATGTGAGCTTATGCTCATCATCTGAACATCAGATGAATCTTGAGCTATAATGTATCAATAAGGCCCCAATTTCCCTATGTGGAAATAATAATAGCAGAATAATGGCAGAAATAATAATAATACTCACAAAGCTGCTGAAGAATAAGTAAGAATGCATTATTTACAAACTGTAAAGCAGAGTATATATGTAAAAATTATGACAGTAAGATTGTTATGAACTCTATTTACAAATGTAGGTATATTCTCCTAAAATTTACCTAATCTCTATGTGATTCGGTTTTTTCATCCGTATGATGATAATAACACTACCTACCTTATGGTATTGCTATGGAATTAAGAAAATGTATATTTGCAAACCACTTAAAATAGGGTCTGACACAAAGTAAGTGCACAAAAAAAGTGTAAAGACTCTTCTATGAAAATAAATGAAAGATGTGAATAGACAAAATGAGGATATCTTAACTCTGCTCTGCCCTTTATTATAAGCACTACCATGCTTCAATCTAATCTCAAACCCTTAGAGGCATTTTCAACTCCTCTCAACGTCCCTAATCCTAATTCGAATCAGAAAGTTCCATCAGAGCCATCCATAACTGCCAATCACAATAATAATTAGTCAATGTATTTTAAGTAAACTAGTCAAATTAGTCATTTGAAACAAGTTCTATGCTAAGCTAACTTTAAAATTAATGAACACTTTTAAATGTTAAGATTTTATTTGATGAGAGGCTTGGATTTTTTTTATTATCAATTCCATGCATTTGTTCATTCAGTAAATATCTAGTGGGTGCCTGCTACACATGCGGCATAGTTTTAGGTGTTGGGCATACAGAGATTAACAAAACAAACTCCCTGCTCTCATGAAGTTAATCATCTGCTTAAGGGAATGAACAGCATAGCTATTTCAAAGCAAAGAAGTCATACAATTAGGCTTTGGATCTGCAATTTAATTTTATTTAAATCATTCCATAAATGAGTACACTGAGATCCAGTGAAATTGAGTGAGGTTGCCCAGTCATTCAGTTATTTAATGGCAGATGCAAGACTCACACCTCTCCTGATGGTCTGCTGCAGTGTGTTTCAAACATGCTCCTCTAAGATCTCACAGTTCTTCACAGCATCTCAGACACCGCACAAAAAAGTGGATCCACTGAACTGGTAGAATTCGAGGCCCCTGATCCTGCTTCAATCAAAGCAATTTCCTGATTATCTGGATCATGTATTGAATCTTAAGGAAAAACTTGCTTGGACAATGTGACCTGCTTATTTTATATTAGAAAACTCCTGCTCTATCAGGCAGAACATCTCCTGAGAAGTCCCATGATCAGAGAAGCGTTCTGGGTTCAGTGTGGCAGATTCTGGAATTCTGTGCCTGTTTAAGAGAGATCTATACAAAAATATCAAAGTTATGAGGATCACAAGCCAATATTTTAATTTAATTTAATAAATTCCCAGTTAAAAACTTAAATGCCTTGGATAATTTAATTTTTTAAACAATTAATGTTTTTCAAAGTTATTTTTAAGGCTGCTTATGTTAGTCTCTGAGGAAGTTATCTTAGCTGAACAACTCTGCTAGCCTCTCAAAAGTTGTCACCTTTGCCCTGTGCTACACTGCCTCTAAACATAACTTTATAATAATGTGGGACTGAAATGATTTGTCTATTAGGTGGTTTAGAAAGAGTTTATGTGGAAATTATCAGGAGAAAAAAAGTAACCTATCTTTGCTTGAAACTTTGGAGTGTCCCCCCTTATTCTTATGTTAATATTTCTTTTCTCCAGTTTAAATTAACATAAGTGGGAATTTAAACTTTTAGTATGAGATGCCCTACAGAAAAAAATATATAGACAAATCACAGTAGTTTTAGAGATGAGAGACTGAAACAGTGATGGTACTCTAACTCAAATAATGTCAGCAATGGCTAAAGGAACTATGTAAGACTTACATTCTCTGCAGAATGTAAATATTCTCAAAATGTCTGTTCTGTTAAGAATGAAAATACCCCCCCAAAAATAAATAAATAAATAATTTTTAAAAAAATTAAAAAATTTAAAAAAAAGAATGAAAATACCCCCAACCCACCCCTCAAAAATATCCATGCCATATCAAGAACTCTCTACCAGCCAACCTGGTGAGACATGGTAATGAGTTCCGGATCAGAAAAAATTGCCAAGCATTGGCTGGCATGCCATTCAGGTGGACTGGGAAAAGATCAGGTATTGAGTGCGGAGTTGGACTACATCAGTATTCTCAGATGTGGACACCTTTGAGAAATGATGAAAACTGTAGGTCCTTTATTCAGACAAAATGCATCAATACACAAAATTTTCCTACAATATCATAGGACTCACCACTAAGTTTCATAATTGTAATTTTTATAATGACAAAATTAAAAGGTAATGGTCAAAGTTCTTTTTCCAATTTAAAGACATTAAAACTTCAAAGCAGAGGAGATAGAGCTGAAGCAGGGCATTTGTTAAGTTGGTTGGTTGAGATTTTGTTGTTTTGTTTTTTGATGATGGCATATATGGATGGCAGATATGAAAGGTGTGATTCAGAAAAGATTCTTGGATCTTAACTGAATGTCTTTGACTGAAGTTCCATGAACAGAGTGCAGCAAACAGGGTACCCTTTTACTCAGTCCTCAGTCGTCAGTCCTCAGGCAGTAACCTAACCATTTTCTACCAAAGGAAGAAGAAACTATAGCATAAAAGGAAGATCTAGTTAATTCTTCAGGCTTAACTAGATAATCCTTTACAATGGATCAGGAATAGATCCATTGTAGCTAGCTGGGAAATAAATGCTTGACAAAGTGAAACTCTCTAATAACAAGATGTGCTTGAGATTTGGTAAAATTGGAAGAATAATGATTCAACTCACAGCAATCTGGTTTCCATTCTTAAAACTCCATAAATACTGCTCTCCTGACATTCAGCAATAATCACCTAGTTCAGAAATCAATGGAAGTTTTCAGTTCTTGCATTTTCTTTCTTTCTACAGGTCAGTGAAGGTCACAAAAAGCCATGGAAAACATATCACAAAAAGAATATTGTCCGACAACGTGTAACCTACCACCAATTACCATTTCATCCCAAACCTCAACCTAACTGGAACATATTACTTCAAAAGCATTTATTATTTAATCCACACAGATACCAAAAGCCTTCTCACCCAATCAAGAGAAAGCCAATGTCAAAACCTAAGTGTCCAGTTAAAACTAACACAGTGGTCAACAGTAACACCGCAGGGGCTACCACTCAAATTCCATCTTTGAGTCCCACATTTACTTCCAACAAAATTACTGAATCTCCAGGTGTGACGTCTTTTGTTCAGAATCCTACCACCATAACTGAAGACATCAACACGGGCTCTTCTTCAGCTACCACATCACCACAACCTTCTACAGCTCCGCCAGACACCACAGCCGCCCCATCCTCCCCAGCTCCGCCAGACACCACAGCCGCCCCACCTACATCTTCCCCAGCTCCACCAGACACCACAGTCGCCCCATCTTCCCCAGCTCCACCAGACACCACAGCTGCTCCACCTACATCTTCCCTAACGACACTGGCACCAGAACCTTCTTCAACTCCACTGGAGACCACAGCTCCCCCAAATACCACACCCAATCCATCCCCAACCTCTCTTTCACCTGAAACGTCTGAAACTACAGCTGCACTCACAACCCAAACTACTACTCCAGCCGCTATTCAGACTACTACTGTTGGACAAACAACCTCACCTTTCACACAAAATCAAAATAATACATTCTGGGAACATATTTATGAGATACTGAAGTACATTTATGGTTTTATACCAAATAAATAGTACATCATACATTATGAAGTATTCTGTCATCAGATATGATTTATGAGTACAGAACTACCACCTTTACTTTACCAATCTCAAAGTGAAATTAGAATATTCCTCAAATTTAAAGTGTTATCACCAATCTTTCAATCTATTTACCTCACATGATCAATTAACAAGAAACACCACCTCTATCTCACAAAATAGGTGCATGACCATAATTTATTAACACTTTGTGGAACCTTTAGAGATAGTCCACTGAGGGGAGAAAGACATTAGCTAATGAGAGAAAACTATATGGATTAGCAGCCATTTACTTTTCCCTAAATGTTGGAAACCATAAGGTCACTACTCTGTATCCCAAATCAGAAACCCACTTGAATTATCTAATCCCACAAATATAAAGGGATAAAATTAGGTCTCTCCAAACACACAAAAACACATAAATGTAGATAGGCATATCATTGTATTACTGATTAGGGACAAAAACTGTTTTAACAATCATCTTAAATTTTTTAAATCCAATTCCACTCCACAAAATGTGAACCAAGGAAGAGCAAAGTTTATTTGAAGTGAAGATTTGAAGTCAGTGAACATGAAATCTGGTAGCCAACCACAAACATATCTCTGGCACTACATATTTGAGAGAACATAAGTGGTTAGGCCTTATTAATTGTATTACAATTGTATACATTAATTGTATAATATAATATTAATTGTATTATATATGAGCTAATTTGGATCCAAGTACTTGATTCTAGCTTCTGTGAAACACAAGAAGGCTTTTTTTGTATTTTCACATGGTGGTCATAGTATATTTCTATGAATTCAATTAATTTAATCTTAGTAATTCAATTAATTCACATTAATTCCATGTGAAATGTATTCAGCAGCAGAATATTTTTAAAACATTCAGCCATATATTTAAATGTGTTTTAAAGCAAATCATACCAAACTACTCCCCTGATGTTATGTTTGCAAAATTGTCTCTGAATATAAACCCTGATTCCAGTCAGTAGAAAACATAAACTACCTATTTGGTATATAGAGATAATATTAATATGGGATGTGGAGGTATTTCTACTTGTTGCCATAACTACTGAGAACTCTGATGATTTTATTTAAATTTTCTGTCAATAAATAAAGACTTTGCATGGCAATCTGTTTTCATTGTGTGTATTTGGAAGCCCCTTATCTCTTAGATTCTGAGATGGGTGAAAACGATTTGCATTCTTGTCAACCCTATCAATAATTAGCCAATGACGTGAGTAGGGCACTCAAGGTCTCTGATCATCAGGGAGAGAGGGGTTAATTCTTTAAACAAAGTGGTTAATTTACTTAGATTAACTTAATCTTTACTTAGTCTTACTTAATAATATGTTTCCAATTCAAATTATGTGTTAACCCTATGCTTCCCAGACTGACAATAAAAAAAAACCATTTCTCTCACTTAATTCTGTTCCTTCTTAGACTAGCTCAAAAAGAACTATCAGAAAGAGAAACTAAGGAAACAATTTGGGGCAACTGGGTGGCTCAGTCCATTAAGTGTCGGAATTCAGGTCATGATCTCGTGGTTTATGAGTTCAAGTTCTGCTTCAGGCTTTGTGCTGACAGCTCAGAGCCTGGAGCCTGCTTCAGATTCCGTGTCTCCCACTTTCTGTGCCCCTGCCCCACTTATTCTCTCTCTCTTTCTCAAAAATAAATAAACATTAAAAAAAGAACACAATTCAATAATAAAGTACCTAGGAATACATTTAACAAGGAAATGAAAGAACTGCATGCTGAAAACTGTAAGACATTGATGAAAGAAATTGAAGAAGACACAAATAAATGAGAAGGTATGCTCTGTTCATGGATTGGGAGAATTAATATTATTAAAATGTCCATGCTACCCAGGAAATCTGCAGACTGAATGCAATCCCTGTCAAAATTCCAGTAGCATTTTTCACAGAAATGGAAAAAACAATCCTAAACTTTGTATGGAACCAATAAGACCCCAAGTAGCCCAACTATCTTGAGGTGGGGGGGGGGTAGGGGGAAGCAAAGCTACAGACGTCACACTTTCTAATTTCAAACCATATTACAAAGTTGTAGTAATCAACACAGTATAATAGTGGCATAAAAACAGACACATCAATCAATGGAACAAAATAGAGAAGACAGAAATGAACATACACATATACGACCAATTAACTTAGGACAAAGGAGCCAAGATACACAATGGCGAAAAGATAGTCTTTTCAACAAATGGTGTTGGAAGAGCTGGACATCCATTTGCAAAAGAATGAAACTAGAGCACTCTTACACCATGCACAAAAGTCAACTCAAAGTAGATTGAAGACTTGAATAAAAGACCTAAAAACATAAAACTCCTAGAAAAAAATACAAAGCTCTTTGACACTGGTGTTGGTGATGATTTTTTGGATTTGACAACAAAAGCAGAAATCAACAATAGATCTAAATCAAACTAAAAACTTTCTGCTCAGCAAGGAAATCATAAATGTAAAGAAAAGCAAGCCTACAAAATGGAATAAAATATTTGCAAATCACGTATCTGATAAAAGGTTAATATCTAAAATATACAAGGAATCCATTCAACTAAATAGAAAAAAATTATTTTCAGGAATAAGAGCTGAACAGACATTTCGCAGAAGATGTACAAATGGCCAACAGCCACATGGAAAGGTGCTCAATATCACTAAGCATCAGGAAAATGCAAATCAAAACCACAATGGGCTATTACTTCACACTAGTTAGGATGGATACTATCAATAAAAAGACAAGTGCTGGGACACCTGAGTGACTCAGTTAGTTAAGCATCTGACTTTTGATATTGGCTCAGGTCATGATCTCATGGTTGGTGGGTTTAAGCCCACGTTGGACTCTGCACTGACAACTTGGAGCTGCTTGGGATTCTCTCTCCATATCCCTCTCTTTCTCTCTCTTTCTCTTTCTCTCTCTCTCTCCCCTCAAAATAAATAAATAAACTTAAAAAAAATTTTTAAAGACAAATGATAACAAATGTTGGTGAGGATGTGGAGAAAAGGGAACACTGATGATGTAACGATTAGTGGGAATGTAACTTGGTGCAGCCACTATAGAAAGTAGTATGAAGTTCTTCAAAAATTTAAAAGTAGAACCATATATCATATATCCCATCATATATCCCACTTCTGGGTAAATATCCAAAAGAAATGAAACCATTATAGTGAGGAGATGCCTATATTCCCACATTCACTACAGCATTATTCACAACAGCCAAGAGTCAGTTCACAACTCCCAGGAGATCCCCTGGTGTAATCTAAAACCGGCCCCCATCAGGGAAGGTAGAGAGAGACCAAAGAAAGAGGCCAGCCACTCCAGGTCAGTAGGTGGCAGTTCTAACAAACAAATGGAGCTCACGTGCTAGGCTTGTCTTGGGTGGTAGCAAGACAAATGTATCCCTGCACGCATCCACCTAATCGTAAATAAAAAGGTCTTAACTGGGGTCAGTCACACATACCATGCAGGCATTCTCAACATAACATAACTATCTCAAGGCTGTGTCCTTGGAGAAGCCTGTGGGAGTGGAAAAGGGAAGGGGAACTCACATTCCAAGGACAGGGGAATGGGGGAGGAGCCTCAGATTGCTCAGGTCAAGGTCAAGGGTCAATATATAGTCACATCTTTTTGATTAGCTTTCCCAACACCAAGGTATGGATACAACTGAGTGTCAGTCACCACATGAGTAAATCAAGAAAACATAAGAAACACAGATATACACATAAATAATATATACAGTTATACAGTGGAACAGATATACAGTGGAACATTAGCTTTTAATGAGAAGAAAATCCTGTCACGTAAGACAACATGGATGAACCTAGAGGGCATTATGCTAAGTGTAGTAAGTCAGATAGAGAAAAACAACTACAGCATGATATCACTTACATGTGGAATTTTAACCAAAATAATAGTCAAACTCATAGAAACAGAATATAAAAGTTGTTACCAGCAATGAGGGAGTGGCAGAAAATAGGGATATGTTAGTATAAGGGTACAAACTTTCAATTATAAGAGTAAGTTCTAACGATCTAATATAACATGGTGACTACAGTTGTGGCACTGGATTATATCACTGAAATCTACTAAGAAAGTAGAACAAATGTTCTCACACACACAAAAAAGGCAACTATTTGACATGATGGTTGTGTTAATTTGATGAGAGGAATCCTTTCACAGTGTGAATGCATACCAAATCATCACACTGGATACCTTAAATATCTAACCATTTTATTTGTTAGTTATTTTATTTGTCAATTAAGCTGAAAAAATGAATGAGGAAATCAAAATCCTATATGTTTGACATGGAGAAATTCAAGACGCATGATTAAGTGAAAAAAAGCAAGCTGCAGAATATATATAGTACAGTATATTTTCTGTAAGAGAGAAGAAAAAAATATATATGTATGCATATACATATATACATATATGCATACATACACATATTTGCTTATCTTTCTTAAAAAATACTACATAGATTTTGAAAACAACATTTAATAAAACTACCTAAAACAAGGATGAGACCGATAAGACCAGTAGGAGGAAGTATCGTGGAAACTAGACTTCTGTGTTTATGGCCATTGTAAATAGTTTTGTATTTTGAACTATGCAAATATACTACCTATTAAGAATTAAATTTTCTGGGGCGCCTGGGTGGCTTAGTCGGTTAAGCGTCCGACTTTCGCTTAGGTCATGATCTCGCGGTTCGTGGGTTCGAGCCCCGCGTCGGGCTCTGTGCTAACAGCCAGCAGAGCCTGGAGCCTATTTGAGACTCTGTGTCTCCCTCTCTCTCTGACCCTCCCCTGCTCACGCTCTCTCTCTCCCCTAGAAATAAATAAAAATATTTTTAAAAAAAAGAATTAAATTTTAGGGTTGCCTGGGTGGCTCCATCAGTTAGGCTGACTCTTGATTTCGGCTCATGTTATGATCGCCCGTCATGAGACCAAACCCCATGTCAGGCTCCACGCTGAGCACCA